ATGTAATAGGAATTCCATGAATATACTGTCCACATATTCCTTTCAAAAAGGCAATTTATGAGTTTAACATGGATGCTTTTATGTGAACTCATAAAAAAATGTTCACAAACCACATTGGGGTTATGAATAGATAATTCCTGAAGTTCACTCTTCTTTCCAAAAGAAAAAAAATGCTTTTAGAGTCATAAAATCATAATTTTATGATTAAATATTTAAGATTAAACACTTGAAACAGCAGATTTGTGGCCAACTGTGCATGTACTTCACACATCCTAACGGGCTGAAGAGCACCTTTTCCAGAAGGAAAATAGTCCTCCTGAGTGACTATTTTAGGGATACATGCTTAATTGAGAATTGAAAATTGATCCAAAATTACTCACAAGTTATTAACAATGGCTCAGATTGTTCAAACAATATCCTGGGTTGTAATTCAAAAGGTCTTGAGACTTGCCCTGGTTGGTGTGGCTGAGCAGTTAGAGCATTGGCCCAAGGACCAAAGAATCATGGGTTCAATTCCCAGTCAAGGGCACGAACCTAGGTTGCAAATTCGAGGCAACCAATGGGTGTGTGTCTCTCTCACATCCATGTATCTCTCTCTCTCTCTCTCTCTCTCTCTCTCTCTCTCTCTCTCTCTATCTCTCTCCTCCCTCCCTCCCTCTTCCCTTTCACTCCATCTGAGGATTAATGGAAGAATATCCTCGGGTGAGGATTAACAAAATGAAAAAAAGAAGTGTTGTTCTATAATAGAGTGTAGCAGCCCAGATGTGCACTCTGAAGCCCAACTATCTAGAAGCCCAGCTCTATCATTTACTAGCTATGTAAGCTGAAACAGATTACTTAATTTCTCTGTGCCTCAGCCTCATTTATAAAGAGGAATAATATTAGTACCTACCTTACAGAGTTATAAAAATTAAATGAGTTAATGTGTATAAAGAGTTTGTAACAGTGCCTGCCACATAATGAGCATTAAACAGCTTATGTTTGCTGTAATTGTCAATCTTGATCAGCTAACATCACCCCCTTGTCACCCATTCTTTCCTTGTACTTGTCTAAAAATAATAGTATTTAAGAGCTGGGCGTTGAAATCAGAAAGACCTGGATTTCAGTCCTGGCCCCACCACTTAGCAGCAATATTATCTTGGGAAGGCACTTAACCTCTCTAGTCCTAAATTTCCTCATCTCTAAAATGAGGATTAAAATAGTATCTACTTCACTGGGTTCTTGTGAGAATTAAATAAAATTAACGTCACACCCTTTACATATTACTTGGCATGCAGTATATACCCAGTGAATCTTTGCCAAAATCCATTAGCATTTGGGTAGGCACAATCAATCTGAATCATACTAGTCTCCTTTCTGACAGTTTTCATGATGCTTTTGGCACATATCTTTGGTTGTCTGCCTCCCTCCATCTTTTGTAGCTGTTCTGTGCTTTGTAGACAGATACTGCTCTCAACATGCCTGCATACTTCCTTTCTTTTTGGATTATTTGTGGCTACTGTGCCAAAATGTAAGAATTTCCAGTTCGATATATTGAAAACTGATAGGACTACCAGTCAAGATGGCAGCGTAGGTAAATGCGGTATCACGTCCTCCCACAACCACATCAAAGTTACAACTAAACTACAGAACAACCATCATTCAAAACTGCCTGAAATCAAGCTGAATGGAAGTCCTACAACTATGGAATTAAAGAAGCAGCCACATGGAGACTGGTAGGAGGGGTGGAGACGGATGGGCTGGTCCCACACCCAAGTGTGGTGGATAAAAATCAGGAGGACACCTCAGCTGGGAAGGTTCTCCCTGAGGACTGAGGGGTCCCCAGCCCACACCAGGTGCCCTCCTCAGGGTTCCAGTGCCAGGAAGAGAATCCCCATAACTTCTGGCTGGAAAAACCAGCGGGAACTGAGGCTCAGGGAGGCTGAGGCAGCTGGAGCCTCAGGCAGCTCCTCTTAAAGGGCCCGTGCATGGATTTATTGGAAACAAACACAGGGAGGCAGCCAAAATGAAAGATCAGAACAAAACTTCAGGAAAAGAACTAGGCAAAATGGAGATAAGCAACCTAACCGATGCAGAGTTCAAAACACTGCTTATAAGGATGCTCATAGTGAGAACCTCACTGAACTTAGTGAGGGCCTCAGAAGCATAAAAAAGGACCAGGCAGAAATGAAGGAGGCACTAATTGAAATAAAGAATAATTTATACAGATTCAGTAGTAGAGTAGGTAAAGCCAAGAAGCAAACCATCAATTTGGAATATATGGAAGCAAAAAACACCCAATCAGAACAGCAAAAAGAAAAAAGAATCCAAAAAAATGAGGATGGTGTAAGGAGCCTCTGGGACAACTTCAAGTGTGCCAACATTCACATCTTGGGGGTGCCAGAAGGAGAAGAGAGAAAACAAGAAATCGAAAACCTATTTGAAACAATAATGGCTGAAAACTTCCCAACTTGGAGAAGGAAACAGACATATAAGTCCAGGAAGCACAAAGAGTCCCAAACAAGATGAACCCCAAGAGGCCCACACCAAGACACATCATCATCAAAATGCAAAAGGTTCAAGACAAAGAGAGATTCTGAAAAGCAGCAAGAGAAAAGCAGTTAGTTACCTACAAGGGAGTTCCCATAAGATGGTCAGCTGATTTCTCAAAAGAAACTTTGCAGGCCAGAAGGGTGTGGCAAGAAATATTCAGAGTGATGAAAAGCAAGAACCTACAACCAAGATTACTCTATCCTGCAAAGCTGTCATTTGGAATCGATGGCCATATAAAGAGTTTCCCAGACAAGAAAAAGTTAAGAGTTCATCACCACCAAACTGTCATTATATGAAATGATGAAGGGTCTTTTTGAAGAAAAAGATAAAATATATGAACAAACAAAATTGCAATGAATATATATCTATCGACAATGAAATCTACAAACAAAATGAACAGGCAGAACAGAAACATTCTCATAGATACAGAGAACATTTTGTTGGTTGCCAGATGGGAGGGGGGTGGGGAAATGGGTGAAAAAGGTGAAGGGATAAAGAAGTACAAAATGGTTGCTAGTCTGACAAACCTTAAAGGGAAGGGAGTTGGGAGGTGGGAAGAAATAAACCAAAGAACATATATGCATAACCAATGGACATAGATAACAGTGTGGGAAAAGGCAGGAGGGGGACAGGAGTGGGGAGGAGGGGGTCAATGGGGGAAAAATGAGAAACATCTGTAATACATTCAACAATAAAAATTTTAAAAAAAGAAAACTGATAAATGATAGTAAAAAATTTCCAGTTCTTTGTGAACCAATTAGTTTTTTGGAGCCTGTAACGAGAGTATGTCTTTTTTTTTTTTTTTCTGATATGCTTGCTTTATAAAATATATAATTCATGGTAAGTGTATTTTTCATCATTATTATAATTTTTAAAATAAAGTGATCATTTTTCTCTCAAGAGTCTATGCCTTCCACTTCCTCAATCAACGGCAAAGTAAACCCAGAATAATGGTTCCCACTATTATTTCCTTTACCTTTCATGGGACTACATTATAATAAATAAAAAATTGTATCAGATACTCTTTTAGCAGAATAAAAATTCCCACAGAGATAATTAAAGAATACATTCTACTACAGTTTGTTTCTCTGTAAGTTTTGTAATTTGTATTAGAAATCATCATTTACATTCCCTGTGATACTGAGATTCTTTCATATTTCACCATTAAAACATCACTTCTGTTTTCTTTTATAGCTCTCTCTACCTTGTTCTTCTCCAGCAGAGTGGTTTCTATATTCACACACACACACCCCTCATTACTCCTTCTAGCATTCCCTGTTAGAAGTTTCTTTTCAACAAAGTATACCCTCCCATGGCCAGAGTTCTTTTATGAATACCATCTCCAACACCTTTTAGTAATAGATATTCTTGTTAAAATATTGTTTCCTTTACCATGTATACTGCATTGGTATACAAAATTACTTATATACAAGGTATCGTTCTCAATTTTGTTCCCAAATGCCTTCTTTCTACCTATGTTTTCCTCCTAAATTATCTATTTTTATAATTTTTATCTGGGCTTATTTCTCTTCTTTACTGATAAACTTAATAAACCTCTTGACAAACAGTAATGAAATTTACTCCACCAGAAGCCCCTACTGTGGCATTACAGAGCACAGTTCAGGAAACCAAACCCTGATACCCTCCAAATGTTAATTAACTACTATATCTCTCCTTATCTTCCAAAGTTATGAGCATCAAAGGGAGATGTGAAAATATATGAACTGTGCCTCTCTAGAACTTCAAAATCCCTAGATTTCTTCTAAAGATTTCTGTTAACGTGTACAAGAAAAGTTCTTTTGACTAGGTTGCAAACTTTAAGATAGCAAAGATCATGTATATTTTACTCACTACGGCCCAGTGTCTAGTACACATTAGACCAGGGGTTGCATAGTTGGCCGATGGGGCCAAATCCTGCCCACTGCCTGTTTCTGAACTGTTCATAGAGCTACAAGTGGTTTTTACATCTTTAAGGGTTGTTTTAAAAAGAAGAATATGTGAGAGATCATACATACTCTAAATTTTCCCATCTGGCCCTTCTTGGAAAATGTTTGCTGACCCCTACTATTAGATCCTGAAATTTTATTACAAGAGGAGGTAGGGCGAGGTGAGGGAGCTCTAGGAATGGAGAAGGATAAACAGAGATTTACAACAAATGTAACTGGGCAGCACTGCCAACACTAAAACTCACATAATAAAAATGGTACAAGCCTTGGTTGCAGGTTCAATCCCCAGCCCTGGTCAAGGTCATGTGAGAGGCAACCAATGTACATGTCTCTCTCACATCAATGTCTCTCTCTCTCCCCACCTCATCTTTAAAAATTCAATGGAAAAATGTTCTAGGGTGAAGGTTAACAAAAACAAACAAACAACAAAAAAAAACTGTATAGGCCTTAAATTGTTTCTTAACTTCAATTTTTACTGACTTTCAAGAAAAACTAAAGATCTTTCATTCACATATTTTTTAAAACTGTCTGCTCCATATCTGTCCATTACGATTTTACTTAATTTGTCTCAGTCATCAAAAGGCAGTTTATTCTAGGGAAGTATGGTGACAATTATAGTAGTACTTAGCTCAATCATTCACATATTTTAGAGACTGTATTTTTTTTGTAACTAATTTGTTCTTGAGTCACAGGTACTCCTAGAACTAAACTTAAAACTTGGCAGTCTACCTTTTCTGCAACTAGCCTAGTTAACATAAATGTTAGTCATTAGCAAGGTGTCAGTGCTATAAGGTGTCAATTCACAGGTATACCCTCATACATATAGCCTTTCCGTCCACACAGCACTAAGTAGCTAAGCACTAACACTTCCCCACATTTTACTCATCTGTTCCCATGTGACCTGTTACTTCAAAATTTAATCACATAAGATGCTCCACAAGCCCTGAAATAAAGCTTTCAATACTGAAAACTGTTTAATCAAACCATGAAAGTTCCATTCTCAAGAAATATGAAAGAGCAGTGTTAGACCTATTCATGCCAATGGCTATTAGAAGCACATGCAAATGTGTACCTGAAAATGCTGCTCCATCACTTGGATTTTTCCCTGGTCTGGGCACTTTTTCAGAGCTCGATCTGTATAATGGAATAGGATTTCTACCATCTGTAAGGAAAACAGTCTTGTATAGAAGTTAAAATATATCTATAAAGTCTTTCAATATTTAAAAATGTGATTCCCCCTAAATTATTCAGAATCAGGCTTTGTTATTTTATTAAAAATATAATGTAAAATCTTAGTGGCTTTCTTTTTCAATTTCTTAAACTCTAGCCTAAATTCTTTCAGCCTCAGGGCTAATACTAATTTGCTAATCTTTTCTAAAAATATCTCCAGGTTCTAGACCTTAGTAGTATCTGTTGCTCAGGAAATGAAATATTGAAGTTAAGCTCCTCAGTAATCCTGTGCTATAAATCTTTCCCTAAAGAACACAGAATCCTAAATATTTTAGCAGATACTGAGAAAAATCACTGTGAATCTAAAGAGTGACCACTTTCACTTTCTAAATGTTTATACTAATTTGGAATATAATTCTTATCAATGCACTTGCACATTTAAAAAAGAAAGAAATGCCATTCCACTCAGTGGTTGGAGCATCGGCCCATGCATGGAAGGGTCATGGGTTTGATTCCCAGTCAAAGACATGGGTTGCAGGTTCAATCCCTGGCCCCAGTTGGGGCACATGCAGGAGGCAACCAATTGATGTGTCTTTCTCACATTGACATTTCTCTCTCCCCACCTCCCCTTCACTCTCTCTAAAAAAATACCCTTGGGTGAGAATTAACAAAACAAAAGCGGGGGGGGGGGGGGTAAATGAATTCAACCAAATCTAGAAGACTAGGAAAACAAAGCCAATAGTAAATATTAGCATTGATCACATTAATGCTAATTAGTAATAACAACATCGACCCTCTGTATTACCTCAGGTAACACACACTTGCATATATAATATTTCTCATAATTACTAATCAGTTTATAAAAAATAACAAATGTCAAGTTTCCGTGGGGCTATAATTAGGTTCGGAAATAATCCAGATTCCAGGTTTCTTCCTTTTTTCTGCCATAAGTAGTAAAACAGTCTTTTGGCTATTTTGCTACTTTATCTTCATAAGAGAGTGCGTAAGAAAAAAAAAGAAAAGGTGAAAACACGAAATTTAAAAAACATTCAAGATGACACCAGGGAATTATAATGTGACTTTTTTATACACTGCCTCCTTGACTGTAGCCATTTACCAAATCATGCCCAAAGATTATCAGCAAATAACCCAAAGCAAATCAGTGCTGTAAAAACTCTATCAAAATACTCACTCGATCTGCAACAACAGCCTTTCGCTTACTGGCATCCCCTGATAATCCTGCAGAGAAGCAAATTTCAAATAAAAACAAAGTTAAACTGTATCTTCAGGAGTGAAACTGTTCTGGTCATAACCTGTGCTAACAATAATCCTTATGTATCAAAATGTTGGGCAATATGCTATAATAAGAACACCTCACATCTATTGAGCCAGATAGTGTATCAATATACTTCCCTTCTATTCTAACAGTAAATTTTTCTTATGAAATAAAAGAATTTTAAAAGTGACATTTAAAATTATATTTCTTGTATTTATTATTAAGCTTTTCCACTGAAATCTATAAGGTTTGGTAACATCTTGCTTATAAAATACTTAAACATTAAGCTAAAAAGTATATTATATGTGATTAGTATTAGTCATTCTCTATACTCCAGAAAAACATTGACTCCACCGGTATTCTGTTCACTTACCCACGACTGCTTTTGCTTTTCCTTCATGGAAAGACCACGCAAGAGCCAAGGCTTCTGTAAGACAATCTTGTTTCAGGAGATGATCCACTCTCTAAAATTAACAAATGAGAGAAGCTAGACCCCTTTGACCAATCACAAGTCAGAATTCCTGTTCTACCAAATATCTTTCTAGAAGTTGCTGCTTAGTAGTTAAAATTCTTCTAATAACCATGTGAATATCTCACTTCTCAGAAAAATAATTTTTTAAAGCACTAGATACCACAGTGACTGAATAATCTAGTGTACTATACTGGCAGTCACAAAGCCAAAATATATAAATAAATAAAAAACTGTAACAGAAATGGCTAATTGCTTATCACAACATCCTTTCATTCCTTCATTCTTAGTAACAAATCCCAAGTTTATTTAAAACAGCAATACACCTGCTAAAGGACATTTCTAAGACTCCTTTGTAGCCACTTGGGACAATGTGACTAAGTTCTAGCCAATAACAAGTAGAAGTGTTGTTTGATATTTCTGGATGTCACCTTAAAAGGCAGGGGTCAGCCCTTCTCTTATCTTTCCTCCTTCCTGGAATGTGGACTTAAGAGCTGGAGCTCCAGCAGCCATACTGAAACATAACATGACCTTAGGACTAAAATCCACAACAAGAATGGTGGAACAGAATAGGATACTACATACCATAGAGTTACCACAGTAGCTACATTCTGCCTACTTCCAGATAGCTTTCACATAAGAGAGAAAGCTTGAAGCCACTACTATAAGTTGAAGCAACAGTTGAAGCCACTGTTTTGAATTTTCTGATGTATTTAACTAATCTAATTCTAATTAATAGTGATTTTTTATCAAATCAAGTACCTAACAATTATAATGGTTTTTGTACATTTCTGATATGAAAAAGCAAGAATCCAAATAATCATTTTGGCAAATTCAGAACAAATACTAAGATGCTATCAATTCGACAACTCTAACACATAAAATTACTTCGAACTCACCTCTCTCCAGCTCCTCAGCATCATCACATAAACAGACTGGAAAACAAAAAGAAGGAAATTGAAATGACCATCTTTAACAAACTTGTTTGGGAGACATTTGTCCCTGCCCCACATCTCATTTTATATCTATTTAAGTAAAAACATTTCATAGTACAGTTAGAAGTTATTAAAGGGTCTTCAAGGGTCCACATTAAAGAGTAAATCAAACAAACATTTAAAGGTTAATAAGTCTACAGTCTAAGGAGTTAATACCATGGACAAGAACTAAGGAACATCCATTCTCCCTTCATAGACTTAAAATATTTTTTATTTTAATAATAAAAAAATATTTCTTTCCCATGTTTTCTATTTGAGCACAGGAACAAACTGTTACACAAAAAGTTCCTATTCCAGTGATTCTATTCTAAGTCAAATGCCTCAATGCATTTTAGAGAGAAACATCGACATGAAAGGGACACATCGAGTGGCTGTCACCCACATGACCCAACCAGGGCCAGGGACAAACTGCAACCAAGGTACATGCCCTTAGTGGGAACTGAACCCGGGTCTCTCTGGACCATAGGCCAACGCTCCAACCGCTGAGCCAAACTGGCCAGGGCAAGGACATCTTAATTACATGACAAATATACATGATAAGGTAATTTCCTAGTCGTAAAAACATAAATGTGAAGAAAGAGTATAAATATATATATATGAATCAAGAAAATAAGCACCCTATTAAAATCTAAAAAAAAAGTAAAAGTATGCCTAAAAGTGGAGAAGATAATTAGTTTAAAATCATGACTATCTAACCCCTAACATTTTAGATTACTGCTGATCAATATTCACTGTAATGCAGTGCCCTCTTTACCAGCACCCTCCTTCAGCCCCAACTATCCTGACAAAAACAAATGCCAAGTCATAGTGGAAGAGCTTACTTTGGTCCCCAAATAAAAGATCTGACCACCATAGCTACTGATGGATTGATAACAAGCCTTCTCTCCAACCAAAGCCTGTAAAAAATAAATAAATAAACAAAAAAGGTAAAGATTGCATGAGTTAAAAATTTCATTGTTTTAAAGAATGTCAATTATAGAGACAACATTTTAGGTCAACATGGTTTCGCCCCTAAGTGTGTGTATGTGTGTGGGCGGGGAGGGGTTTGAATGTCAATCAAGTGCCAGTCCATCAATGGAAGTGGCAGAAAAGGACAAAATGCAGAAAGTAATTCTCTGCTTACATATTACATTTATTTTTCACAATAATGCAGAAAAGGGAAGAACATGCAAACTTCTAAATCTAAAGGAAAACTGTTGCAACCTGCCCATTATTAGATCACGATAATCACTGCTTCTGGCAAAGAATAGAGCTGATTGAAAATGGTATCTCTAAGTTCTTTGAAATAAATATCAGCATAAAACACAGGAGAAACAGGAAGACAAAGCAGCATAGTAGACAGGAGTCAGCATAGCCAAGACAAAGAGAAACAAAACCTGTTGGTTGATAACTCAGGGTTGCAAACTTTGGCAAAGTCACTTTCTAGGTATGACCTTAAATACGTTTCACATTGAGTTTTCATGTCTTTGAAAACCATGCAGTTTCTGTGAGGCTTAAATACATTATTATTTACAAATCTCCCAAAGTACATAAGTGGTCAATAACATAACTGTAATAATGTATCTTAACTTTTCATTATGGAAATTATAGAATATACATAAAAGTAGAGAGAATAAAATAAGAAACTCCATGCAACCATTAACCAGCTTCATCAATTGTCAACTCATCACCAATCTTATCTCATCTATAATCTCGCTGACTCCCCTGTAACACTGTAATTTTTAAGTGAATT